GAAAGTGGTTCCCCCCCCCCCCCTTTTACATGCTATAACTTGCATAGATATCCTTTCATGCTTTGTATGTTGAATTAGCTGGAAGTGCTGGATGAAAAAGCTCTTACTGATGAATTTAAGGAATTCAGGTAAATTATCCTTCAAAAGAAAATATTAAGATTTCTTTCCAGAATTTATTTAACATGATAGTGCAGACTCTGGATTTTTATTTTCAAGATCTCTTCATATTTTATTAATGCTCCTTAACAAATGATAATCTTTAGAGAATTGGTCGTTAGGCTAGCTGTCCTATTACTTTTCTGTTCCTGCCAGTCTGACTGTTTCTCTGTGCTTCTCAATGTTACATTACTTGTCTTTATCCACCCAGTTTCAACCTTTGAAGTGAGGGAGTGAAATAAATGAAGGGGACAAAAATTTTCTTCAACCCCCTAGACTCTTTCCTATTGTGCATTAATTAGATCCTTGAGTTTATAGACTGATTATGATAAAGTGAAACAGCGATTTAATAATATTATAGCTGTGCAGGATGGGCACCTTCTCCCTTAGAAAGATAAGCTTTTAATTGAACAGATTAATGGATCAGTTGCTACCTCTGCTTTACTGCCAGCAATTCTGTTTAATCATGGAGGCCCAGTTGCCTCAGTCTTTTTGCAAAACAATTTCTGATGCTGCTGCTTCACCAACCGAAACAAAACAGGTTTTCTCCTTGAGAAAGCCATGCAGGTACAGAAATGAATATAGCATCCTGTGTGATTTATGATTTATTTCCTACCGGAAGCTGTTCCAAATGTTATTTTCTTAAATACTTGCGGGGAAAAAAGTCTCAGTGTATTTTATGAAAGCACCAAAATAGCTGGTTTCTATGACAGCTGAATTGTCAATGTCTGTTCAGCTTATACAGAAGAGGATGTCCTATTTAAATATAGAAAAAATAGCTGTCAGAAATTGCTGCCTTTTCAAGCAATTTGGAAGTATGTAAAAGGAAGTAATGACAGAGTAAAGCAATTCGTGCTTAATCCAGAAAAGATCCAGAAATGATATGGGAAAGAGATTGTGTATAATTATTTTTATCTGGTGAAATACCCTTTATTCCTGTAAATAAGTAAGAAACTTGTGCCACTATTTCTTATTGGATGTACAGAAATATCTCATCTTGTCATTCAACTCTCTGCATCCCTGAATTCCACTTATGCATCCAGTCTTAGAATGAAGATATATTTAAAAAGTGTGGGTGGACCTGGAGAGCATTATGCTAAGTGAAATAAGCCAGTCAGAGAAAGACAAGTGCCATATGATTTCACTCATATGTGGAATCTAATGATTAAAATGAACTAACAAGCAAAATAGAGACAAAGTCTTGAGAGCAGGCGGACGGCTCTCGGAGGGGTGGGGGTTAAGGGGCTAAAGGGTAGTGGAGGGATTGAGCAGAAAAAAAAAAGAGAGAAAAAACTCACGGATACAGACAACAGTGTGGTGATTGCTGGGGGTGGGGAATTGGGGGAGGTGGAGGAGCATATGGGGGGATAAATGGTGAGGGCAGGGGACTTGATTTGGGGTGGTGAACACACATACAGTGTATAGATGATGTGTTACAGAATTGTGCACCTGAAACCTGTATAATTTTGTTAACCAGTGTCACCCCAATAAATTCAATAAAAAGGAAAACAATCCCTCCAAAATAAACAATAAACCATGCACCATTAAGGTAATATTTCATTTGGAAATGTGAAAGAGCCTCAGGACATTTTTGTTGTGTAGACCTCATCAGCTCATTTTTAGATGTGTTAAAGAAACCTAGGGGGCTTTATTGAGAAATTCTGTCTCCTCTCTATCTTATATTGCCTTTCTCTTTTTTCTGTAACAGATGTTACATTGTCACCAGACAGTAGTGCTGTTTTTCTAGGCCCATTACCTGGGAAGCAGTCTTCCCTGGTAACTCATACTTTGCCATGAACATCTTCAACTTCCCCTAATCCTCCATTCCAAACCACTTCATTTTTTTCCTATTATTAAAATCCTAAATATTTAGAAGAAATTCTCTCAGGTAGATATGACTTAAATGATACTAAGGCCTGAGTGTAGCTTTTCTTGCTCTTCCTAATCTTGATATGTCCTTGAAAACTATTTTTGTTTTACTTTTCTTTTTTTATATTTAGACAACAAGATGTCTATTTCCTTCATTATTCAGAAATATGTTGTAATATTTGTTGTGTGACCTCTGGTATGGTTTTTGGAGCAAGAAGTATTCTAAGGACATGGCTTGCTTTTCTCAGGAAGTGTTTTATATTATCATTTTGTTTTAAAATAAATTTTTAAAAGTAATTTAGTCACCTGTCGTTCTAGAAAGGAAGAGATTCTTGTTTGACTGAAAATGTCCCATTAGCATGTTTTAAAAAATGTGAATATTTGGCTTTCTTGCTTTCAGGTGGGTTGGTCACTTCTATGCAAATTAATAGAAGTCTGTCCAGATACAATGCAAAGCTTAACGGGACCCCAAGGTATTGGACAGGATTGGGAAGTCCTTGGTGTTCACCAGTAAGTATGACAGATGTGTCAAAACACACCACATTAAATATTTCTCCATCCATATGACAACCGTTTTCTTGATACATTATATTTGTAATCCAAGTCAATCTAGTAAATTTTTTTAAAATACAAGGATATTTTTTCTTGAATCAATGATTTACATTTGTAGAGAACTTTCAACTCAGAAGTATATTATCTAATGGAATAAGAAAACTAACATTTGAGGTAAAACGTCAGGTTTTATTATTTTAATAATATAAAAATACAGTTGTACAACTGGTTAAGTTGTAGATTTTTGATGACTACTTATGAATTCAAACCAAGAAGCTTTTTTTTTTCTTCTCACTTTTTAACTGTACTTTTTTTCTACTTTTTAACTGTAGAACTGATATAAACCACTAGTTCTTAAAAAAAATACGGGAACTAAAAAGTTAGTTCTGTGAATAGTAATTTGGAAGTTTATGCTTTACTGTCTTTAAGAAGTACATTTATGTATATTCATGCATATATATTTAATGAGCTTAAATAGCTTTCAAAATGAAAAGAAGAAATTACCTTTCAGCACATCTGCAGCCAAATCTTGATAGCTATTTTACCAGCTATGCTATTGCAGTTTGCATTATAATGACTTTTTAGATGAGACCACTTATTTAGCCATAATTAGTTAAGAAAAGCTTTTCTGAAGAAAAATCTCTTTCCAGGAAAATTCATTTTGGATAACTTTGTTTTGTGACATTTAAAAACCATCTCCTGTCATTAACTTTAGATTTTTTTTATACCTAATGTGACTTTCCTTTAGCACAGAGAAGTGAATACATATTGTTCCCAATGGCATATTGCTTGAAAAATGTAATATATGCAAAAGGAAATCTTACATCTTTGTGTTGTTTATTGGTATCGGCTATAGATGCAAATTTAGACAAATAACAGCTATTTGTTCGTAGGTGAGCAAATCTGTTCTTGTACATTTTTCCATCTTCAATAAATGTGTTACTGTTTTTCAGTTTCCATTATCTAAAGAGCGTATTTTAAAAAGGGGACATCTGGCCCTGGAAGGTTTGGCTCAGTGGACTGAAGGGTCCCGGGTTCGATTTCAGCCAAGGGCATGTACCTCGGTTGCAGGCTCCACCCCAGTTGGGGTGAGAGTGGGGGGCAACCAATCGATGAGCCTCTCTCACATCAATGTTTCTCTCTCTCTCCCTCCCCCCCTTCCACTCTCTGAAAAGCAATGGAAAAAAATACCCTCAGGTGAGGATTTAAAAAAATTATAAAAAGGGGACATCTGTAATACTTTCAACAATAAAGATAAATTTTTTAAAAAAGAATGTATTTTGAAAAGGCATATTTACAATTAATGTTCTCATCTCCAAACTAATCTCTGAAGTTCTTTAAGTCAGTTCTAAAGTATACAGTATTTAATGAGTAACTATGTAAACTGTATCTGTAATTAGTAATTTTAATCTTATGTGTCTCTTGGTTTGGTTGAGAATTTCCAAGATCCCTAAAGATTAGCAATCTGTAACCTTAGGGAGTGTTGGAAAATGCATCTAGTCGGATTCTAGCACAAACCATCTGTTCAAGTGATATTACATGAACATTTCTACAAGGAGTCTCACTCATTCATTCAGTCACTCATTCACTCATTTGCTCATTCATTCATTTACCCTTCACTCATCAGCTGTTAGTACACCTCTACTTTAGGCCGGGAGTAATGCGGACAAGATAGACACTGCTCTCTACAGTGGGGAGTATTAGGTTCTCAGCAAAAATTTATTGTAAAACACTTCTCCCTGTATTCAAGGACAGCCCCCCCACCCCCAAGCTTACAGTACTGAAGAAGAAACCCCTTGGGTGGTGAAGTCAGGAATAGAGGAAAGGGTACATGTGAGGTAGGGTTAGCATGGGTAGGAGGAGAATCCAGTGTCGAAGAGTGGGGTCCCTCACCTCCTCGCCTTACCAGCTGGAGGCCATGTGACAAGTTTCTTGTGTCTAAATGAAGATATGGATACTACCTAACAATGTTAAGCCAAACAACACTGGTCGGAATACACTAAAGATCATATATTTTAGAACTGATAGCACAGACTCAAATTTAATGAATGCATTGAATACTATTGATATAGTAGGTTCACTTTCTATTGTAAAGTATTATCAATTTCTTTTTCAAAAATAGTAAAATCAATAATTTAAATATTCAAATGGCTTCTTTATATATACAAACATCTTTATGACATCTCTATATTTTAATACATCATTATGTATTACATATAGCTCATAAATTTATATCACATATAAAAATGGGCTTGATCTCTTGATGCATATAACTTCATGATATTTTAGATATAGAGTTTGGTGAAAATTGTTAACAATTAAATTTGAATATATATTATATGTGTATATATTTTAATCCTCACCTGAGGATATGTTTTTACTGATATTAGAGAGAGGGGAAGGGAGAGAGAGAGAGAACATTGATGTATGAGAAAACCACCCATGCATTGCCCCCTGTATGCTACCCCACCGGGACCGGGATTGAACCTGCAACCCAGGCTTGTGCCCTGACCGGGTATTGAACCGGCGACCTTTCAGTGAGCAGGATGAAGCTCCAACCAACTGAGCCATACTCGTGGGGATTCCCTGTTGATTGTCATAAGCCTGGCTTAGGTTTACAGGAAGAAAAACGTACATGAGCTTCAATACAGGCACTCAAATACAATGAGCTGAATGAAATATAGGTGAGTAAAAAACAATATCTAAAAAAGCAAATGCCTAGGTATTTCACTGATCTCGATGTCTCTTTTTAATTACAGGCTGATTATTAAAATGCTCACATTTCATAATGCCAGTGTAAATCTGTCAGTGGTTGGACTGAAGGCCTTAGATCTCCTTCTAACTTCGGGTAATATATACACATACATTTTTAATGTTAACTCATTTAAAATATTTTAAACCATTTGCTGTGTTTTAATGTCATTTTAAAGTATAATAACATAATATAACCTAAATATTGGTGGTTTTCCAGATTCTTTGTTTCTACTTTCCTTATCTCTTTTCTCTAACTTTTTCTCTCAAATCCCACGTAATATCTTGGCTTTCAACATTACCTTGTATAGTGCTACACCCGAATTTATATTTCTAGCCCCAGCTTGACTCCCAAAATCTGGCCCCACATCTTAGATTCCCATTAGCTTGTTGTCCATACATGTCCTTGTCATCATTATATCTTTCTTCATTATATCTGTAATATGTTTTTTATAATAATATATTTTCTAGAGTATGATAATAGTAATATTTAAAAAATTATAGCATTACTTCTTTTTTGGTTTTGTTAATCCTCTGTTGAGGATATTTTTTTCATTGATTTTTAGAAAGGGTGGACGGGAGGAAGAGAGAAGGAGAGAGAGAAACATCGATGTGAGAGAAACACATCAATTGGTTGCCTCCCACATGCACTTGGACTGGATCCAGGGATTGAACCTGCAACCCAGTTATGTGCCCTTGACCAGGAGTTGAACCTAGGACCCTTCAGTGTACAGGCCGATGCTCTAACCACTGAATTACACCAGCCAAGGCAGCATTACTTCTTGAGTGCTTGATAGATGCCACGTTTCACTTGTAAAATACTTCCCATGCCTTTAAAAACATAATCCTCAAAACATCCCTTGAGAGGTGTTTTATCTCGTTTTCTAGGAAGGGAATACTAAAGCACAGAGAGGTTGCCTCAGCCAAGAAGGAGTAGAACCAGGGGCTAATTCCACATGTCAGGTTCTTTCCATGAGGAAACATCTGTTTGGACCTGAAAACAAAGACTTGATATTTTGGAATAGTTGTGCTCATTGCTGTGATGGCCACCTGCTCTGATATAAGGTTCTGAGAAGAAAGGCTGTTTATAGGGAAGCAAATCAGGAAGGACAGGGAGGTGTTCCCTTTAAAGTGGTGGAGGGTGCTTTAGGTCAAGAGGTGAGAGACCTGCGAGGATAGCACCATAGGGACTGGGATGTGGGCTGGACTCGCTTAGTAATGAAGACCCAGTAGGAGAAAGAGAAAGGAAGAAAGACAGTGAAGATCAGGTGGAGAGGAAAGGCCAGAATGTACTCACCACTTCACCACAGGCTTTTATTCAAATGCATAAAGGCCCTGGCTGGTGTGGCTCGGTTGGGCATCATGGGGTCCACCAGAAGGTTGCCGGTTTGATGCCAGGTCCATGTTTGGAATCTACTAACTAATCTTAACCATGATTTATTTTAAACTCATCCTTGAGAGCTTTTTTTTTGAGAGGGGGGTGTCTTTCTCCATTTGGCAATGGACAGGAAGCTGCTGAGGGTTTATGAATTTTCAAAATCGACCAACACTGGACTATATTGAAGTGAGCAGTGTGCAGATAGTTAGGAAATTCACCATGTGTTTTGAAAAGACTAGTCAGTTTCATTTCTTCCACATGGCTTTCACAACTTTGCACTGTTAGGAAAGTTTTTAATGTGTTTTAAAGTTTATTTCAGATACTCATTAAAGGTTACTTTATCAATCATTTTGTTGTTTGGCTTATTAGTTAGTTGATTTAATAGTTACTGGGCAGTTCCTGTTGTGCCAGAGAGCTGTAAGAGAGATGAGACAAAACTCCTACCACATAGAAGTCGTGGACAGTTCAGCACCACTGTCCAATATTACTTTTTGAAATGAAGGAAATGTCGAATATCTGTACTTTGTGGTATCATGGTTAGTAGCCATATGTGGTAGCTATTGAACATCTAAAATGTGAAAAACTGAATTTTAATTAAAATTTTTTTGTTTGTTTATCCTTATCTGAGGACATTTTTTCCATTGATTTTTTTTTTTTTTTTTTTAGA